CAATGCGCACCACCTGAAGGATGGACATATTTGAAACACGGACTTGGGGCAGGGGGACCAAGGGCAATATACGTAACCTAAACATCTGTACCCCCATAATATGCTGAAATAAAAGAAAAAAAAATTTTAATAAACATGCTTTTTGCCAAGGGAAAGATAGATTTTTGTTATAATTTACATATCATAATGTGTGGTTAAATCTCAACAAAAAGCAAAACATATACACTGAGAGAGAGCCCACTTTTGGCTTTAGGATTTCATTTCTTCTAATTTACTTTCTGCCTTATGAAGATATTATTTTATATATGATTAAAAACCTTATGATTAATGTGTTTTAAGATGGGTATGAGAAGTAGTCTATAGCAAAGAATTATTCAACACGACAGTTGCTAAGATCAAACAAGAAAATATGTGTAAAAATATATTCTAAAGGATGGTGTACTACTATGTGATGACAGAGACTACTGGATGCACTAGTCTTTATCAGTAAAGGCCCAGGGGCTTAATACAAAATGAGAAGTAGAGCTTGGAGAGTCTTAAAAGAGATAGGGACATTCATGACTGAATAAAAATCACTTGAAAATTATAAAGACCACTGGCATCATATTGCTGGGTTTTTTTTTGTTTGTTTGTTTGTCTGTGTTTTGGTGTGTCTCTATACTGCATGAAATGAGGGAAGACGAAATGGATTGTAAGTATAACTTCTGCTGTTTCCCCAAGAATGCTCACCGATTTTTCTAAAAACATATCTTAGGTTATCTTTTTTTAAGAAGCATAATCAGCTGGAAATAAATGATAATTCTCTCCCAGGTGGCACACTCATAGGACACTTGTGTATCTGAATCCCAAGGTAACAGTGAACATCAGAAGGGTGCACACCCCAACTGAAGGTCACAAGCTTATGTCAGGCAAACTCATACCAATAGGCTGACTAAAAAGATTCAAGGATGAGGGCCATAAGTCAGATATATATAGCTAATGCCAAAAATTAGGTGCATTATGCTTGAGATCCATTTAAACATTAGCCCAATTTGCTGTTATTTATACATAATCAATCAACATTTAATTTTTTTTCCCTTTTAACTCACCTGTAAGATTCTTTGCAAGATTGATGGAAGGGCAATAAATGCTGCCATGCTGTTTAGAACTTGCATGGTCAAAGATTTCAGGGCTGTTATAACAAAATGTTAACATTAAGGTTAGTTTAAAATGAGAGTTCCCAGCTTTTCTTGTAAGTCAGGGGAAAATAGTGGATTTATATAGCTTCTAAGAAATGTAGCCAACCAAGAACAATTTGATATTTTAAAGTTAAGTTGCGGAGACTACTGCTATTCAAGACAAATTATAAGTTGCCAAGATTACTATTATTCATGATAAATTAAATAAATGGCATCATGGAGAGACTTAAACCCAAAAGACTGAGATCAACACTACAATATGGTTTCGTTAAGGAAAATAATAAGAATATGATACCGGGAAAAGATATCATAATTATAGTTTTTTCAGATAAAAATGAGATTGATGATACAGTTGACTCAGTTACTTCGGTTCCGATGAACTTACCTTCAGAGTGTAGATGAGGGACAGCTGAACTGGACAGCTTCTGAGGGCCCATCATTGCCTCCAATAATGGAAACCAGAGTGCCTATGATGTCAGAGGAAATCAAAGAAAAACAAAAGTGATACGTTATTTTCAAGAATAACTAACATTGGCATAGTGTTTTAAAGGTTAAAATGTACTTCTCACATACATTTGTTAGTGGAAATTAGAAAAAGGAAAAAGGAAGCATTTGACAGGGAAGGGAAAAGACAATAAAAAGCAGAGATCATAGCTAGAACAGGTATCTTTATCATGCAGCCTTGGGAAATATAAGAAAGCCGAAGTTAAATAAGTCTAAGCCTTGAAACTGCAATCTTATGTGTCTCAGGAAAGGGTAGGTTTAAAGAAGCCAGAGATGAGTTTCCTCCTAGCTTCTTATCTACTCTCGTATAAATGTATCACTGACAAAGTCTAAAATAAGCCTATGAACCACAGAAAGAAATAAACCCATAGTTACCGGCCCCACTCCCAGTTTTCTTCAGCTATCTCAACCAAGATAAATGAGTAAAGGCTATCCAAAGTTTTTTCAGATCAAGCACTATTTTATATTTCCTAAGTCATCACAGGCCAGGAAATGGAAGTTAATGCTATCTTAATTAATGTTATCAACCATGTCAAGAGATAAACAAAGAGATCTATCATTTATTTATTCCTATTATGTTAGTCATTGTATTAAAGGCTTTACATATTTTTTTAAAAAATCAATCTCATAATAACTGTACACTGTAGGTAGTATCTTCACTTGAGATAAGAAATTGAGGTTAATCAAGCTAATGCATGTTAACATTTCAGACATGTTTTCTTGTTGGATAATGATTTACAAATGCCCTAACCCCATACCTTGAGAGAAACCTATTGCTGCAAACATCCAGAAGAGAAGGAAAAAAGTGAGTATTGACAGAGTAGGCCAAGAGCAGCTATTTACAGAAGAGGACACGTTCCATATCCCACCACCTGACACTGCAGAACCGGACTGGCAATGAAGATAGGGGACTAGATTGGCCCTGCAAGAAATAATGAGGGATTCCTATATCTATAAAAGCAAAAGAATGATATCTACCAACATGAAAACATATGAAAGTACAAAACTCATTGTTTGGACAGATATACAAATGAGAAAGAGAAAGGAGTCAGACATTACCACTACAGAAAACCATCAAACTGCAATGACAAACTATAAGAGAGAAAGAAAGGAATAAAAGATACACAAAACAACCAGAAATGATTAACAAAATGACAGGAGTAAGTCCTCACCTATCAATAATAACTTTGAATGTAAACAGATTAAATAACCCACTTAAAAGATACAGACTGGTTCAATGGATAAAAAAAACATGACCCACTACAAGAAACTCACTTCACCTGTATAGACACACATAGACTGAAAGTAAATGGGTAGAGAAAGATATTCCACGCAAACAGAAACCAAAAGTGAGTATGAGTACCTACACTTGTATCAGATAAAAAAGACTTTAAGTCAAAAAATGTACAAAGAGACAACGGTCATTATATAATGACAAAGGGATCGATTCAGCAAGAGGATATAACAATTCTAAATATATGTGGACTTCACACCAGAGTAGCCAAATACATAAAGCAAATATGATTAGATCTAAAGGGAGAGATAGACTCCAATATAATACTAGTTGGGACTTCAACACCCTACTCTCAGCATCGGACAGATCATCTAGACACAAAATCAACAAAGAAACACCAGATTTAAGTTGCACTTTAGACTAAATGGACCTAAAAGATATTTGCAGAATATTTCATCCAACAGCTGTAAAACAGACATTCTTCCCATCAGGGTATAGTACACTCTCCAGGATAAACCATGTATTAGGCCAAAAAACAAGTTTCAACAAATTTACAAAAATTGAAATCATATGAAGTATCTTCTCAGATCACAATGGAATACAACTAGAAATCAATAACAAAGTGTAACTTTGGAAACTGTGTAAATACATGGAAATTAAACAACATATTCCTGAATGACCATTGGGTCAGTAAAGAAATTAAAAAGGAAGTTTAAAGTTTCTTCAAACAAATGAAAATGAAAACACAACATAGAACTATGGGACACAACAAGAGCAGTGCTAAGAAGGAATTTTATAGCAATCAACACCTACATCGAAAAAGTAGAAACATTTCAAATAAACAACCTAATGATACACGCCTCAAGGAACTAACAAAGCAAGAATAAACTAAATCCAAAATTAGTAAAAGGAAAGAAACAACAAAAACTAGAGCAGAACAAAACAAAATAGAGACTAAAAAAAAAAAAAAAAAAAAAAGAACAAAAAAAACAAAAATTGGTTTGTTGAAAAGATAAACAAACTTGAGGACAGACATGGTGGCTCACAGCTGTAATTCCAAGCACTTTGGAGGACCAGGGCGGGAGGACTGCTTCAGGCCAGGATTTTGAGACCAGCCTGGGAAACATAGTGAGACCCCATCTCTATAAAAAATTAAAAAATTAGCCAGGCGTGGTGGTGTATGCCTGTAGCACTAGCTACTAGGGAGGCTGAGGTGGGAGAATTGTGTGAGCCTAGGAGTTCAGGGTTACAGTAAGCTATGATCGGGCTACTGCACTCTAGCCTGGGCAACAGAGTGAGACCCTGTTTCTATAAAAAAACAAAACAAAATGGACAAACTACTAGTTAGATTACCCAAGGAAAAAAAAGGGAGAAGATGCAAATAAATAAAATCAGAAATGTAAAAGGAGACAGCTGATACAACAGAAATATAAAGGATCATTAGGGACTATCATGAACAACTAAACGCTAAAAAATTTGAATACCTAGAGGAAATGAAAAATTATTGGACACAGACAACCTACCAAATGAACTAGGAAAAAACAGAAAACCTGAATAGACAAAAAAAGAGCAATGAGATTGAATTGAAAAAGTTTCCTGAAAAAGAAAAGCCCAGGACCAGATGGCTTTACTGCTGAATTCTACTAAACTTTTAAGGAAGAGCTAAAATCAATTCTTTTCAAACTATTCCAAAAAAATTAAAGAGAATGGAATTCCTCCTAACTTATTTTACAAAGCCAGCATTACCGCCATGCCAAAACCAGATAAGGACAAAACCAAAAAGAAAACTACAGGCCAATATCCCTGATGAACATACATGCGAAAATCCTCAACAATATACTAGCAAACCAAATCCAAAAACACATCAAAAAGATATAATTGACCCTTGAACAATGTGGGTTTCAACTGCATGGGTCCACTTTTACATGGATTTTCTTCTGTCTCTGCTATCCCTGAGACAGCAAGACCAACCCCTCCTTCTTCCTCCTCTTCTTTGGCCTACTCAATGTGATGACGATGAGGATGAATATTTTTATGATGATCCACTTCCACTTAATAAATAATAAATATACTTTCTCTTCATTATGGTTTGTTTTCTTAATAACATTTTCTCTAGCTTACTTTAGTATAATACAGTATATATTATAATATATATAATATATAAAATATGTGTTAATTGACTTTCTGTTCTCAGAAAGGCTTTCGGTCAACAATAGGATATTACTGAAGTTTTTGGGAAGTCAAGAGTTACATGCAAATTTTTGACTGCATGGAGGGTTAGTACCCCTAACTCTCACATTGTTCAAGGGTCAATTGTAATACACCATGATAAAGTGGGATTTATCCTAGGGATGCAAGGATGGTTCAACATATGCAAATTAATAAAGGTGGTACACCACATCAACAGAATGAAGAACAAATGCTATATGATCACCTCAACAGACATGGAAAAAACATTTGATAAAATTCAAAATCCCTTAATGATAAAAACTCTCAATAAACTAGGCATAGAAGGAACATACCATAACATAATAAAGGCCATATATGACAAATCCACAGCCAACATCAGACTGAATGGGTAAAGCTTTTCCTCTAAAAACTGAAATAGGACAAGGATGTCCACTTTACCACACTTTTTTCAATTAAAAGACCTAGTCAGAGCAATCAGGCAAGAGAAAGAAATAAAAGGCATTCAGATTGAAAAGAGGAAGTCAAATTGTCCATCTTTGCAAATGACATGATTTTATACACAGAAAATCCTAAAGAATCCACTAAAAAACTCTTAGAACTGATAAACAAATTCAGTAAAGTTGCAGGATACAAAATCAACATAAAAAAATCACTAGCCTTTCTCAGGACTAGCTGAGAAAGAAATCAAGAAAGCAATCTCATTTATAATAGCTACAAAAAAAATTAAAATACCTAGGAATAAATTTAACCAAAGAGGTGAAAGACCTCTACAGTGAAAACCACACAACACTGAGGAAAAAAATTAAAGAGGACACAAACAAATGGAAAGACATTTCACGCTCATAGATTGGAAGAACTAATATTGTCAAAATAACCATATTACCCAAAGCAATCTACTGATTCAAGGCAATACTTACCAAAATACCAACAACATTTTCCATAGAAATAGAAAAAACAATCCTAAAACCCACATGGAACCACAAATGACCCCAAGTAGCCAAAGTGATGCTAAGCAAAAAGAACAAAGCTGGAGGTACCACACTACTGAGCTTCAAAATACATCACAAGGACACAGTAACCAAAACAGTGTGTTATTGTTAGGAAAACAGGCACATAGGCCAATGAAACAGAATAGAGAACTCAGAAATAAATCCACATATTTACAGCCAACTGATTTTTGACAAAGACACCAAAAACTTATGGAACAGACAGCCTCTTCAATAAATACTCCTGGGAAAACTGGATATCCATATGCAAAAGAATGAAACTAGACCTGTCTCTCTCACAATATACAAAACTCAACTCAAAATGGATTAAAGACTTAAAAACATAAAACGCAAAGCTATGAAACTACTGGAAAAAAACACAGGGGAAATACTTTAGGACATTGGTGTAGGCAAGATCTATGGCTAAGACTTTAAAAACACGGACAACAAAAACAGACAAATGGGACTATGTTAAGCTAAAAACAATCAAGAGTGAAGAGACAATGTGTAGAACAGAAGAAAATATTTACAAGTGATTCATCCAACAAGGACTAATATCCAGAATACACAAGGAATGCAAACGACTCAACAGCAAAAAACCCCCAAATAATCCCATTAAAAAGTGGGCAAAGATATGAATAGGCATTTCTTAAATGAATACATACAAATGGCCAACAGCTATATGAAAAAATGCTCAGCATCACTAATCATCAGGGAAATGCAAATCAAATCCTCAATAAGATATGATCTCATACTTGTTAGAATGGCTATTATCGAAAAGATGGCGTGTTCTTGAGTATGTGGAGAAAAGGGAGCCCTTGTGCTATCCATTCCTTGTTGATAGGAATGTAAATTAGTACAGCTATTATGGAAAACAGTACGGGGGTTCCTCAAGAAACTAAAAATAGGCCGGGCGCGGTGGCTCACGCCTGTAATCCTAGCACTCTGGGAGGCCGAGGCGGGTGGATTGTTTGAGCTCAGAAGTTCGAGACCAGCCTGAGCAAGAGCAAGACCCCGTCTCTACTAAAAATAGAAAGAAATTAATTGGACAACTAAAAATATATAGAAAAAATTAGCCGGGTATGGTGGCGCATGCCTGTAGTCCCAGCTACTCGGGAGACTGAGGCAGGAGGATCGCTTGAGCCCAGGATTTGAGGTTGCTGTGAGCTAGGCTGAGGCCATGGCACTCACTCTAGCCAGGGCAACAGAGCGAGACTCTGTCTCAAAAAAAAAAAAAAAGAAACTAAAAATAGAACTACCAAATGATCCAGCAACCCTGCTACTGGGTATTTATCCACAGGAAAGAAAATCAGTATAAACCTGCGTCCCCATGTTTACTGCAGCACTACTCGCAATACCCAAGATATGGAATCAATCTAAGTGTTCATCGACAGGTGAATGGATAAAGAAAATGTGGTATACATACACAACCGAATACTATGCAGTCATAGAAAAGGATGAAATCCTGTCATTTGCAGCAACATGGATAAAACTGGAGATCATTATGTTAAATGAAATAAGCCAGGCACAGAAAGACAAATATTGCATCTTTGCATTTTATAACATGTGATAGACAATTAGCGCACGTTCTCACTCACATGTGAGAGCTAAAAACAGTTGATGTTATGGAGGTAGACAGGAGAATGATGATTAACAGAGGCTGGAAAGGGTTGGGGTGGAGTGATGAAGAAAGGTTGGGTACAAACATACGATTAGAAGTAATAACTTCTAATGTTTCATAGCACAGTAGAGTGACTACAGTTAACAACAATTTATTGTATATTTCAAAATAGCTAGCAGAGAAGAGTTGAAATGTTCCCAACAGAAAGAAATGATAAATGTTTGAGGTGACAGGTATCCTAAATACTCTGACTTCATCATTGCCCATTGTATGGATATATAGAAATATCACATGTACCCTATAAGTATGTACATATTTATTATCAATTTTAAAAACCCAACAACAAAAGGAATTCCTCAGTTTTACATAAGCTTCCTACAGGAGAGTGAGTACTGTATTTTTTAAAAATAAGTATTATTTGATCCAATTTTTCTAAAACCAAGGCAGACAAAAAATATCTAGAATGATATTCACCAAATGATAATAACAGTTATTTTGGGGTGATAGAATGAACATATTGTAATTTTTTAAAAAGATTCTCCTGTCTAACTTTCTGTATTATATGATTTTTAAAAATGATGAGTATGTATCATTTTAGAAAATTTTTTAATAAAGAAAAAGTCATATCCACATGTAAATGAGTTTGTTTTACAAAATTTATATTCTAAAGAGTTTTCATAATTTATGACCTTGAAAATTGCTTGATAAAAATTTAAAGGGGAAATTTACCCATCTCATAAGAACAGAAAATATACCAACATTTATTATTTTCATTGTAACATGTATAGCTAAATATATATATATATATAAAATTAACCCTGTTCCCCATTTCAAATACCCAGACAGTGAAAGTAGCCAGGCAACGTCAAGTCAGTGGCCCAAGCCCAGGAAGGGCAGGCAAAGAGGCGTTAATCTACATCATGATATACCTTAACTTTCTGAAACAACTACAGAATTTAACTGTCAAATCACATCTCTCCCCCTTAGTTTCTGCTTCACTGCTGTAACTCCCACCTGTACCGGGCGCCCAACTATACCTCCTTCAGTTTTGAATTCTTCCTTTGTGCAGTCTGGGATCTGTTCTAGCAGTTGTTCAACCTTGGCTGCACATTAGAATTAGGTATAGAGCTTTAAAACATGCTCATGACCAGGTCCCCGCCCCAGACCAGAGACTGTAATTGATCTGGGTGCAGCCTGAGCACTGTGATTTTTCAAAGCTCCCCAGGTGACTCTCATGTTCAACCAAGGCTGAGAACTACTATATCATAGCCTTCTTTGACCTTTTTCCAGCTTTCTCTGTATCCCTTGAGAGCTTTCCTCCAGTTGTTCATGCTCATTTTCACCCATAGGGAATAGGAGAGATGATAAATGATGACATTTCCATGGTACCATTACATGGAATACCCAAAATCTTAGTCCAAAGAGAACAGAGAGATCTAGTATTCACATGCCTTATGTTTTGCAGCATAGCCAAATCTAAGATACAAAGCCTTTGGTGAGAACAAAGAGGCCACACACTCCTCACAATAACTTCAGCAGTCTTATACTCCTGGGAACACTAAAAAGTGATTAAAATCCAGTTGAATTAAACTCAGGTGGCTGAGAGGGCAGTGGAAATGGAATTAATTCCTAGTTGAAGACAAGAACAGGCTTTTAAATGCCTAAATAGTCATTCTCCTACCTCTCGTTGCTGCTGGTTCAGATTATGTGAATTTCTCTGGCAAAGAGCAATTGTCTCTACCATAGTATCTTCAACATCCTTCAGTGAGGGATCCTCTTTGGTATCTAGATTCAGAAAAAGCATAAACATCACTTAAGGATATATTAATAATAATCTCAGAGTTTCTGTGAAAAATTAAGCTCCTTTTTAAATTTGCATCATCTTAGTTTTCTATTATATAACCATCCATAAAACCTGATGCCAAAGTTTAGTAGATTAAAAAACAAATCATTCTATGCAATAGGACTTTCCCATATAAATGTTTGACATTCATAGTACATATAAAGCACATCATACTTAGCATTTCAATATACTTTAGCTATGAAAAAATCCCAAATCATCAGTCTGTGGATTGGTTAGTAGAGAGATTATCCTTCCCCTTTCTTGCTCTACTATCTCTTCCTCTGCCTAGTTCTTAAATGTCGGTATTCCCTCAAGATACTACCTGAGGCCCTTTTCTCTTTTCATTTTTTTAATGATTCCAGACATTTTTGGGGTTTCGACTCTCATGTCTTTATTAATAACCCACAAATATACACCTTCAACCTTTATTCTGTTCAGAACCTGCAGTTTGAATTTTCTAATGACCCTAGCGCATTTATCTCCACGTGGATGTCCTTCAAGTACCTTGAACTTTACTTGTGCAAAACCAACTTATTTTTCTAATTTCAAATTTGCTCCTCTGCCCACATTTCCAAACTAAGTTAATGGAGCCATCATCTTTAAGTCAACCAGTTTATAAATCATCTTCGATGTTTCTCTCTCTTTCACCCCACACATTCAAATAAACTGCACATTTTAGTAGATTCTACTTCTGTACTCACTTCTACCCTGGCGGAGCTCTTAATCATCTCATCTGTGCTACTGCAACAGACTCTTAATTGAACTTTTGACCTCCAGATCACTCCCTACCACAAAAACCATTAAAAATTCCTAATTCTTAAAAATAGAATGCAAGGAAGCCTCTGACACTAAAAAAAACAGTAAAGATTCAGGCTCTTCCCACCCTCTGCGCTCTGGTATCGCCAGATTATTTCTTACTCCCTGAGGTCACTAGCCAGGCACTCGCAAGCTCTCCTCAGCCTGGAAGGTCCTTTCCCTGCTTTTGTCCATCAAACCCTTTTCATCCTTCCAGTCTTTCTTCATAGGTCAAGTCTTCCACAACACTCTCTTTGATTCATGGGTTACAAATAGTTCCCTAAGTTTCCACACTCCTTTTCCATTCTCACTGTACTTTTCATAACATTCCATTCCACTTGTATTAGAAATTTTTATTACATATCCGTCTCCTTCATGAGACTGTAGTTTTTTTTGTTTTGTTTTTTGGCGGGGTGGGGGGCAGACCTATTTTAGTAGTCTGTGTATAGCCCATAGGAACTAAACACAATGTCTTACTATTAGCAAATCCTCCAAAAATTCTTAAGCACACTGTCAAAACTGAATCTGAAAGCAGATGGCAGACATGACACTATTACTGGAACATTTATCTTCGATGGAATTCAAAACAGTGGCATCTCTAGACACACCACCTATGAATCGTTGTACTGATTTTGGGGAAATACTCTGCTTAATTTTCCATCAGTCTTTCATATATTTATTGTCTGCAAAACTTGTTCTCATAACACTGAATTTAAAAAGAAAAATGACATATAACACAACAAACCTAACATAACCAAACTGATTGAACACATACTGATGGTATAAAAATAATAATTGTCTATCTGGACTATCACTATAGAAAAGTCAATCAAGTGTTTACTGAGGTTCTAAGAAGATTTAGTGTAATACCAGATGATGAAGATACCACACAGACCCTATTATCTAGGACATAACCATCAAAAAATACAGATAATTAATCTACAGAGAATTAGGGTAAAGGCATATTAGGGAAATGTATGGACGAAGAGGTCCAAGAAATGTGTTGTGTGTGTTAAAGATGTAGGATAATCTAAAAATAAAAATCACCTGTGAAGTAATTCCCTGATCTTTTGGGAGAGCTATTTTGAAAATGTCAGGGAATATGAAAATAAACCACGTGATTAAAAAATGAGTGAAGGACTTGAATAAACGTTTCCCCAAAGAAGATAAACAAATGGCCAAAAAACACATGAAAAGATGCTCAACATCACTCATCATTAGAGAAATGCAAATCAAATCCACAATTATAATAGATACCATCTCATACCTATTAGGATTGCTACTATCAAAAAAACTAGAAAATAAGTGTTGGCAAGGGTGTGGAGAAATTGGAACCCTTGTGCACTACTGGTAGAAATGTAAAATGATGCAGCCACTACAGAAAACAGTATGGTAGTTCTTCAAAAAATTAAAAATAGAATTATGACTTGATCCAGCAATCCCACTTCTGGCTATATTCCCAAAAGAACTGAAAGCTGGGTCTGGAAGAGATATATTGTACACCCAGGTTCGTAGCAGCATTATTTATAATAGCCAAATGGTAGAAGCAACCCAAGCCACCACCAAAAGATGAATGAACAAAATGTGGTATATACATACCATGGAGTATTATTCAGCCTTAAAAAGGAAGGAAATTCTGACAGATGCCAGAACATTTATGAAGCTTACACTAAGTGAAATAGGCCAGTCACAAAAGGACAAACACTGTACGACCGCACTCATATGAGGTACTTAGAGTAATCAAATTCAGAAAAAGAATGGTGGAAAGTAGAATGGTAGTAGCCAGGGGCTGAGGGGGAAGGGGAATGGGTGAGTTGTTGCTTAATGGGTACAGATTTTCATTTTGGGGAGATAGAAAAATTTGGAGGTGGTTGTTGGTGATGGTTGCACAAAAATATAAATGTACTTAATGCCACTGAACTGTAAAAAATAGTCAAAATGGCACATTTTATGTTATATATATTTTACCACAATTTTTAAAAATAAATAATGTCAAGGAATATGATGGAAATTTTGTATCTGTCTGTGACAAAGCCACTTGAGATTCTAAAGTGTCAAGTTTTAGGGCTTTGGGTTAAAATTCAGTATAGAAACATTGGCTGATTTGCTGTTTGGCACGTTAAAATAATTTTTAGGATGTTAGTTATGAACCTTATTGAAACATAACCAAACCATAAGTACAAAAATAGAACCAAAAAGATAATCGATGAATGGTATCTAATTTTCTGTATATTTTACTCCATTGACAATTAGCGTCACAAAGCCACAATGGTTTATATGATTTTCTGTTATGAACTCTTGAAAACTAACTAGAATTTGGATCCATGTTGAAGTAGATAAACAGTAATTATGGAGATATGCCAATGTATTAATAAATACAGCTTATTAAATAACATTTTAAAACATGGGGTTCATGGAGGAAAAAATTATCAACTACACTCAAGAACTTACTTTCACCTTGATGTATTATATCTTGAAGTTTGCTCTGTAGTCGCTAAGGAGATAAAAAGAATATAGGAGTTAAAAGGAAAACTATATATTTCTACCCACCAAATATATACATATATTTTTTTTGTAGAGACAGGTTCTTGCTATGTTGCCAAGGCTAGTCTTGAACTCCTGGCCTCAAGCAATCTTCCTGACTTAGCCTCCCAAACTGTTGGGATTACAGGTATGAGCCACCACACTGGGCCCCACCGAATTATTTGAATTAACATATTTTAAAGGTAAAACCCCTAAAACACACAAGGTTATTAAGATTGGTCCCTTACTGTCATTCAGAAGTGTACCCTTATGTATGTAGAAAGTATAACTAGCTATATGGGAAGGGACCCAAAAGACCAAATACCACTTATTTTGCCCCACTTCTGCTTCTGTTATACCACCGCACAATCATCATTGACAATCTTTAGGCATAGTAATGAGGATTAGGATTTAGGGGAACCTGTCGCCTTCCAGATCCTTAAATGCAGCCTTTTGACTGAATCCAAATTTCAAAGGCTGCATTAAGGATCTAGAAGGCCACATGTGGCTTTAAGGCCGCAGGTTCCCCACCCCTGAATAGTGTGAATAAGGAAATAAAACTTTACAGAGTTGTGAGAAAAGAGGGTGGGTTAGGTAGGTGGGAATAAAATGAGCATGATAAGTCTATCACCATAGTGTAGGGTACAGGCTTGGGTGTTATGTCTCCTAAATATGCAGTTGTAGTGTCTACTGTTTTACTAAATTCTAGATCCTTAGACACCCTTATCTGATATTCCAATTCCTTCTTAATATACATTGAAGCTGACCCTAATATATACCTTCTACCCAAAATTTGTTTCTTTTCTTGGGGTTCCTTGTAGGCTAAACACCACAGAATTTTAAATCACAGATTTTTAGCTAATAAGCTATAAATAAGCTTATAAGCCAAAATCATCAACTACTCACTCACCTCATACCATATGTAAATGATCGATAACTTCTCTAATCTACTCCCCTCCTCTCTTTACCACCCCTGCCACACCCAGTCTAAGCCCTCATTGACTCACAATTGTACCATTGCAATGGTCTCCCAAGTTTCTCTGCTTTCAGTTTTTCCTCTCCCTTCTCTACATCCTGCCCTCATCCTCCCAGTCACCAGAGCAGTCTTTATGAAACAAACAACATCAAATCAGCTCTTTGCTTAAAAACCTTTCTCGATCCCATGTGACAAAAGGGTAAGTCCCAATTCTTTAACGTGTCCTACAAAATGTGTCCAAATCTGCTTGTAGCCTATTTCTAGCCTGACCTGCCAATATATTGTACAGCTGAGCCCTGATAAAGCTGCTGGTGCGCCTCAGTAGTCCGTACTTCTTTATAGTCCCAAGCCTGTGGAATGACTGCCTCACTTCCTAGGCGGCTCTCCTGTTTCTCCTTATCTCATCTAGTCTAGCAATACTTTTACTTGTTCTTTATAACTAGGTCTATGGTATCTTCAACAAATAAATTGCAAGGAAAAAAGAGATGTAGGGGTAATTTACAGATTAAAAGAGATTAAGAGCCTACATGAAGCCTCTAGTGATTATTCTTCCTGCCCTATTTTAGAATCACATGGCTAGAAAGAAACTAGAACCAAAATAGAACATTTTTTTATATAAATAGGATATCCCTAATCTGTCCCTAGCAAGATGGCAATATTAAAAAAAAAAACCCTGATATACCATTTCATACTCATTAGGATGACTACTATCAAAAACAAAAACAAAAACAAAATACCCAGAAAATAAGTGTTGGCAAGATTGTGGAGAAATTAGAACCCTTGCATATTACTGCTGGGAATGTAAAATGGCACAGCTGCTATGGAAAATAATATGGCAGTTCCTCAAAAAATTAAAAATAGAATTACTCTTTGATCCAGCAATTCTACTTCTGGGTACATACCCAAAAGAAATAAAAGCAGAGACTCAAAAAGATATTTGTACAACCATGTTCATGGCAGCATTATCCACAATGGGGTGGAAGCAACCCAGCTGTCCATCGAAGGGTGAATGGGCAAATAAGATGGGATGTATACATATAATGGAATATAATTCAGCATTAAAAAAGAAAAAAATTCTAAGATGTACTACAACATGGACGAACCTTGAAGACATGCTAAGTAAAATAAGGCAGACACAAAAAGAAAATACTGTTTGGTTCCACTTATATAAGGCACATGCAGTAGCTATTAATAAATTCATAGAATCAGAAAGCAGAATGGTATAGAGCTGGAGCCCATTCTACTAAGTATCACACGAATGGAAAAACAAACATGACATGTACTCATCATCAAATTGGTATTAACTGATCAACACTTATGGGCATATAAAGTAGTAACATTCACTGGGTGTTGGGCAGGTGGGAGGCGGGAGGAGGGGATGGGCATATTCACACCTAATGGGTGGGGTGCACACCATCTGGAGGATGGACACGCTTGAAGCTCTGATTCAGGTGGGGCAAAGGCAATATATGTAACCTAAACATTTATACCCCCCATAATATGCTGAAATAAAAAAAAGAAATAAAGAAAGCAGAATGGTGCTTTCCAGAGATTGGGGGTGGGTCACAGAATGGGGAGTAATTGTTTAATGGGTACAGAGTTTCAGAATGGGAGGTTGAAAATGTTCTGGAGATGGATGGTAGTGAAGATTACGCAACAATGTGACTATAGCTAATGTCACTGCACTATATACTTAAAAATGGTTAATATGGTAATCTTTATGCTGTTTATTTTACAATAATTTTTTTAGATGGCAAAAAGTTTTTTAAAAAAATTTATTGAACAGAAAGTATTGGTGAGAATGCAGAGCAAGCAAAACTCTTACACATTATTGGTGGAGTGTAAAATGGTACCACCACTTTGGAAAGAGGTCTGACAATTTCTTATAAAACTATCCTACGACACAGCAATTCCATTCTTTGATATTTACTCAAGGGAAATGAAAACATTTGTGTGCAAAAAGACCTGTACAAGAGTGATCATAGCAGCTTTATTCATAATAGCCAAAAACTAGAAGCAGCCAAAAGTCCATCAACAGGAGAGTGGATAAACAATCCACTGTACATTCACACAATTAACTACTACTCAGCAATAAAAGAAAAAACTACTGATAAGTGCAATAACAGAGATAAATCTCAAAAACATTATGCTAAGTGAAAGAAGAATTACATAAAAGAATACCTATTGGATGGTGGAAAAATCATAAGAGTGGCTTTCTCTGGGAGGGTGGGGGGATGGGAGCAGGGGCTGACTGAGAAAGAGCAGGAGGGAACTTTCTGAGTGAAGGTAATGATCTCTACCTTGTTAGGGACTTGGGTGACACAGATGTATACATTTGTTAAAAACGCATCAAATGGTACACTGAAAACATGTGTTTTTTACTGTATGTAAATTTTATATTAAAAAAAGTAGCACAAAGAAATATTGAACTCTAGTCAGTGATAAGCATGATAAAAATATTCAGAGGTAAAATGTATTACTGTCTGCAACTAACTTTGAAACATAAAAAATTAAGATGGATTGATGAATGGCTAGAGGGACAGAGAGAAATAAGACAAAGAAAATGTAATAAAATGTTACCTCTAACATTATTAAAAAGGCACCATGAATATCTCCTTTCTTTTCTAATAGATAAGCAGTGACTTCAGGAAGTTGATACTTCTGAGTAATCTAGGAGAAAAAAAGAGAAGATAAACATTTTTGTTCACAAATCTTGTTTATGGGTGGGACAATTCCACTGGGGATGAAAAATCACATGATAATAAATAATGAATTCCTACCTTAGTAGTATGCTACGTTATAGTATAATACATAAATACTTGACTTTTTAGTCTTATACTGGCTTATATGGTATTTCTAATTGGACCAAATTCATTCATTTTTTTCACTTATTTATTTTAAAAAATTGTTACACACATGAATGAGGTATATCCACTGGAGGAAAGTTAACACATACACATGAATAGTAATAATGAACTAGAAACTTATGTGTAATTATATACAAATATTTAGAACAAAATGAGAATGAAAACACTACATATCAACTTGTGGGATCTTAATAAAAAATAACAGACTAAAAATTTGTAATTAGTAAAAAAGAAATACCAGTTAAACTAAGAAGATAAAAGAAAGGAAAAAAGCACAGAAAATGACAGAAAGCAAACAATAGAGAGGTTTAACAAACTCCAACATAGCTTTTTTGAAAAGATTAATATAGTACAAAAAAACTTTCTTAGAAGAAAAGAGAGGCACAAATAGCACATTAACAGTTTAATAGATCAAAGGAGAAGAACATGTGAAAACAGCAATAAATGCAGGAAAAACATTTGGTAAAATGAAGCCATTCATGACAAAAACAAAACAAAACAAAACATTCTTATCCAAACTGAGGCTAGAATTTCTTAACTTAATAAAAGTTATCTATCAAAAGCCTATAATAAATGCCATATTTAATGTAAAATATTAGATACGCTTTCTTTTAAATCAGGAGCAAGGTTAGAAGGCACACTATCACTGCTTCTATTTAACTGTATCCTAGAGCTCCTAGCCATCTGTTAAAAGAAAGACAAAACTATAAGATTGGAATGAAAGAAATCCCTGCCATTATTATCAGAAAACATTATTGTCATAAAAAATCTTGAAACTGGCCAGGTGGAGTGGATCCCATCACTTTGAGAGGTGGAGGCAGGAAGATCATTTGAGGTTGGGGGATCAAGACCAGACTGGGCAATATAGCAGGACTCTATCTCTACAAAAAATTAAATAATTAGCCAGGCATGGTGGTGCGTGCCTCTAGTCCCAGCTACTTGGGAGGCTGAGGCACAAGGATTGTTTGAACCCAGGAGTTTGAGGCTGCAGTGAGCTACGATCATGCCACTGCACTCCAGTCTGGGTAACAGAGTGATACTCTCTTAAAAAAAAAATCTAGAGGCCGGGCGCGGTGGCTCACGCCTGTAATCCTAGCTCTCTGGGAGGCTGAGGCAGGTGGATTGTTTGAGCTCAGGAGTTCGAAACCAGCCTGAGCAAGAGCGAGACCCCGTCTCTACTAAAAATAGAAAAAAATTAATCGGACAACTAAAAATATATAGAAAAAATTACCCGGGCATGGTGGCGCATGCCTGTAGTCCCAGCTACTTGGGAGGCTGAGGCAGAAGGATTGCTTGAGCCCAGGATTTGAGGTTGCTGTGAGCTAGGACGCCACGGCACTCTAGCCCGGGCAACACAGTGAGACTCTGTCTCAAAAAAAAAAAAAAAAAAATCTCGAAACTATTTGAACTAAAAAATAATTCAGCCTGATTGCTAGATACAAAACAATGTACAAAAATCACTAATATTCTAATACAGCAGCAGCTATCAATAAAATATAGGCTATCTCAAAAAATCTCCTTGTACAATGTTAACAAAACTATATGGTATCTGTGAACAAATTTAATATGTGCAGAAGCCATATATACCAAAAGCATAAAAGGTATTTTAAAAAGGCAATCATACTCCTGAATGAGAAGAATCAATACCACAGAGATGTCAATTGTCCCTGAAGTGGTCTATAAATTCAATGCATTTTTAAATCAAAATTCCAGAGGGTTTGACTCTTTTACAGGAATTTGACAATGTGATCTCTGAATTGATATGGAATAATAAGAGGCCAAAAGTAGATAAACCATTTCAAAGAAAAAGAATAAGGAGGGAGAATTCTTTTTCCAAATAATAAGCCTACTGAAAGCTATATTAATTAAAATGTGTGGTACAAATATACAGAAACACAACCAAAGGAACAGAACAGAACCCACAAACAGATCCATGTACATTTGGGAGTCTGGTATACAGCAGTATGGCATTAAAAATCAGTGAGAAAAGAATAATAAAATGCCACACGGACCATTAGCCATTATGTGGAAAAAGGGATATAAATCCCTCTCTTGATCAGCCTACAGAAATAACTTCCAGAAGGATTAAAAGCCTAAATGTAAGAAGCTAAACTATAAAACTTATACAAAAGAATATCCTTTATGTTATCAGAATAGGAAAGGAAATAAGGTGTGCGCACGCACGCGCTCACACACACACACAAACTTCAGCCTTGAAGAAAAAGATTAATAAAATATTAGTGTGTGTGTGCACACACGTGCACACACACACATTTTCGTTTGGAAACAGGAGTAAATAAGGGAAGAGGATCAAGGCAATCAGAGTGCTAAAGCTACTTGAATTGCTATTTAGCCCATTACGTTTTATGGGACAACAGGACCACCTAATCATCAGTGTCTGTAAACAAGAGCTTTATCTTTTCCTTTCAATATTTTTACTATGTTCCTTTTGCTAGGCTTATTCAGTTGGCTAGAATTTCTATAAAGCTTGATTAATAACAATTTCTATAAAGCTGACTTTAATAGAATAAATGGGGAAGCAGTTTATCACAGTAATTCAGAGCTTGTATTATGGAATCAGACTATCCAAGTTCAATCGCAGGCGCTACCACTTACTAGACATCACCTTATGCAAGTTAACTTCATGTGTGAGTCTCCATTTTGCTTTTCATTATCACTTTGGCTAAATGAATTACCATTATTTTACAGTGACCTGTGATCCTATTTTGATCAACTATTTTAAACCTTTGACATATTTGATAGGCTTCCCAAAATCAAATTTCAAATTTTAAAATTAAGTCTTTTTAACTTGAAACTAACTAACTTTGGGATGTTCCAGAGGTCCCTGAAACATCCAAAAGAGAGACAATAAACCAGTTTATTTGATATGTTAAATTATATGGGAAACACTGTCAAATAGAAATGATGTTTAAGCTGGGCGTGGTGGTTCATGCCTCTAATCTCAGCACTTTGGAAGGCCAAGGTGGAAGAATCACTTGAGACCAGGAGTTCAAGACCAGCCTGGGCAACACAGTGAGACCCTGTCACTACAAAAAATTTAAAAAATTAGCCAGATGTGATGGTACATGCCTGTAGTCTCAAATACTTGCAAGGCTGAGGCAGGAAGACCACTTGAGCCCAGGAATTCAAAGCTACAGTGAGCTGTGTTCATGTCACTGCACTCCAGCCCAGGTAATTGAGTGAGACTCTGTCTAAAAAAAGCAAAAGAAAAAAAAAGAAATGATGTTTCATCTTCTTTGGGTTATATTTATAAGGATATATTATTAATATGTGTTCTAAAATTATATGAGATTCAGATATGTCTTGGTGTATGTTATCAGTCATATTTTCGGTTATTATGTTAAATTGTTATAGGCCACATAAAATAACCAAATTTCCTTGACAACTGGGTCTTTAACCATGGCCATTTTAAATCTTGTCCACAGTTATTTGATTTTGATGTTTTTTTCCCCTGAAAGCTCTTTGCAAACTCTAAAGTGTTGCATCTTTAAGGAGGTTCATGAAAAAGACTGCAACAATTACTCTCGAGTACAGGTTCCTGACAATTTTGAGACTATATCACTAGAATGGGCAAAAATTTCTAAAAGCAAGTGGACTCACAAAATTGCTCTGACCCAACATCAAGCAAAACAAGAGTTAATTACATGGGGTTGAAATGAGTTTTTAATGACTTTTTTGTCTGAAACATTGCTGATCCTTTTTACTTTTGAGTTTCCAGAGTTAAAAAAAAACAAAACAAAACTCTTTTTGTGTGTATGTATGGGTAATCAAAGTTTCACAGTAATTTGGTAAAGTACACTTTTGTGAGCAAAACTGAAACATTTACCCTTCTATCTACCTGATCCTTCCAAAATTTGGAAACTATTTGTGAGTATTCTCATTCTATGGCAATATAGTTATTTGTGTAAGTTCAGTGAGAATTTGTTTTCTTTGTAGCAGGACAGTTGGAAACACAGGTTATATTACCAAGGCTTTGACTGGGATGTCATATTTTCAGATATAACCAGACCAGTTTAAGGAACTAAGCTTAACTTTAAGAAGCCAATAAAGCCCTTGGAAAAACTGGCCTGGTACTTTGTCTACATGGTACCCTTACAAGGTTCCTAGCCTTGGAGTAAGTAAAGAATGTTCCTTTTTGACAGGCCCAGGAATCTCAGAACATTTTGAGAATCTCAAGAAAAGAATTCACCCAGGTACTACAGGTAAAATCTGATAGTGAGTCCATGGCTTGGCTTTCTAATCCGGAGAAGCTTTTAACAGTGTAATCTGCGATTCCTTATAAATCCTAGCTGAGCAGATTTTAAAAAGAGTCTATTTGGTCAATCATTATTCTTGCAGTACTTATGTAAATAATCAGGCCGAATATAATGAGACTACCCAGATTTTGCATATAAATTGGATTTACTGTGATTATCTTTGGTAAAAATGGGGAAACCGGAGAGAGAAAAAAAATTATGATTGAGAAAAAAAAACTATAGTGTACTTGTTATTAGATTCTAGCTCATTATTTTTGAAATTTTATAATTTATCTGCAATGTAGACTAAAGCCTAAATTTTTAGTTTCCTCCAATATCTGACTGTAACTCTCCAAACTAATAATTTCAAATTTTTCTCCCATTTTTCTGACTTGGAATTACTGAAATTAAATTGTGCTTTTCCTGAAGCCCTGTAAACTAACACTGGACAACTTGATATAAACTTTGGAAAAATCACCACCACAACTTATTTATGGACAGAAAATTCACAGCAACACCTGATTCAAACTGCAATCCAGGACAATCTGTCAGATTGTCATTGCTACTGCCTACTTCCACCCAACTGCAGATACTTCAAACACAAACCTAGAAACCCCGGCTAGCTGCCCTCCAGATTCAGAGACAAGCTTATAGACTATTCCAAACATTAACCTTTGTTATTTTGGTGTGAACTTCAAAGGAAATCCACTCCTGAAATGAAATGCAACTATTTAACTGAACTGACTTATTTTTACAACTAAGAGACTGATTCGAGAAGATACGGGACAATGTACCCAACTTTGTTTCTTTCTACTTGTTCTAATCTGTGTTTCTCTCGCTCTTTGCCAATCTCTTATCTTAAAACCTCTAATTCAAATCTCTCCAAAGCTACCAAATTGGCTTTTAATACGTGAAACTTTCTAAAAGTAAAGTTTCAGAGGGACCAAAGGAAACCAAAATATTTCCCCCCCAATATTGAGTATTGTTAAGTTAAAGATACTGAAAATGCAGGGGACACTCTGCCTCATCCTCTGTTTGCCTGACGGCAGGACATGAATCCTCGCTTACCACTTGTTCATTGGCTCAGAGAAGGCACCGGCAGGCACCAGAGAAATCTGAGAACAGATTTTACTATCTTCCCACATTTTCTCACCTTTCACAAGACTGGAGCTGCTCTTGCCTCTGTTTTGTCACTATGGGATTTATGGCTCTTTGTTAAAATAATATTTAAGCAAGGCCCCTAAGCCACTGCCTTGAGAGAGAGACTTTTGAACTGAGGTCTCTCCCATGTGATAGGTACAGCACACATCAGTAAACTTCCGCTGTTTTTTTCCTGTTAATCTGACTTTTGTTTTCAGGAGAGTGTCTCAGCTAAGAATTTATGAGGGTTAAAAATGAAATTGTATTTTCTCCCCTTCACTTTGCTCATCTGTCAAATGAGAAATGTTAAGGAAAAGTTTACTCTTGTCTTGTCTACACTGTTGGTCTTATCTTACCTGAATAGTTTCTTCTAGGCGGTAGCACTCAAGGACTTGCAGCGTGTCTATAACTTGGTTTGGGTTGAACTGACACGACAGCTCAATGAACTGCTCTGTAATACAGGGAGAAATTTGCAGCGATTCTTGATTTACATGAATACCTTCCCTAAAAATATAAAAGGTAAGAGAATACTAAATTGTAGCATTATTTAATCACATCTATAATTAAAGGCTATAGGTAAAAAGTATATTATGTTAAAACCAGACTACCTTCTAGTCAGACAAAAATGTGAATTGAAAGTCCCAGTGTTACTTAGGTTTTTTGGGCAAACTATATATTACATCACAGGCATTCTAAGAAGCAATATTTCTCAGGTTACATTGAAAAATTAGGGAAATAACATTTAGTTGAGACTCTTCTAACTCATACCAAATGTTATACTTTGCTCTAAAAGAAACAAGAAACCCCACCCAATTCAGTCTAAACAATCTGATTCATAAGTAACCATATATAATAAACCACCTTCTAGTCTCAATAACTGTCTCTTCTATACATCCCTCATAGAATCAATCACATCACACTGCAATTACCTCTTTAATTATCTGTCTTCTCTAAAAGACTACAAACTTTGTGAAGGTAGGCACCATGCATCTTCTCACTAGTGAATTTTTGAAGCCAACCAGTGTCTTGCATGTAGTAAGGGCTAATTTTTTGGTTACTGTTAAAACAAATTAAAAAGTGATGAATAGTAAGATATACAATATTTATTTGTCCATGTGCCTTGTATGCCAGCTACTCACAAAGCCCACTATTCAAAACGCCTACACAAAAGCTTTGGAAGTGGAGTATTAACTTTATCATGCTGGATACTCAACTACTGGCGGCCAAAAGGAACTACTTAGGAAATCAACTGTTGCTCTTTTGAGACCTGAGAATCATCTTCTCTCTAGCTTCAAAAGAAGTCAGTTACTTCCGAGAGTTCTATCTTCTCTTCAGAATTCCTCAACTAAAGCTCCTTATATAAAGAACTGGAACAGGGACAATAAAATACAAAAATGATTGCTTGGGAAACTAGCCTTCTGAGAAAAGATTAAAACAGACGGTTTAAAGCAGTAGTTTCCAGCTTTTCAGATACCACGGCACACACAAAATGGCGACATGTGTAAGGCCCACTGGAGTGAAGTAAGATTGCTCACACAGGACTCTGGGGGCCCCAAGAGCCAAGGGGATCAGTCTCTAAGCACACCTGTAACTCTGTGCAGTGCACCAAGGTCACAGGGTGGGAATCTCTGGACTCCAAAAAGAACGATTTGGATTTTGTAATTATTCTATAAATGATGGTAAGTAGCACTCCTATTTTTACTAATAAGAGGCTTGAATTATTGAAGAAGGGATTATATTTAGACATAGGACATTTCTGCAAATTAGCTGATGATACTCAGTCCTAACCAGAGGTTGAGCGATAAACTAAATAAGTTCTGCTCTTTGGGGCTTTCAAGACTTGCTGATGGGCTAATTCTGTATCTCCTCAAATTGGCTGTAAATTAAAAAAAAAAAAATCATGTTTTCAGTTTTATTTTATTTTTTTATGGTATCTCACAACTACCTTTAAAATATACAATTTTGTTCAGTGACTGGCTATTCTCTATGTATACCACCACCTTAGTTTTTACTACATAACTTGAAAATTATCTGTTTAAGTGTCTGTGTCCCCAACTACACTATAAACTCCAAGACGGCAAACACTGTGTTGCATTCCATCATCGTCTCCCCAGCACTAACACAGCCTTGGCACATAATACATAGAGCTCAGTAAATACACGTTGAATTGAACTGAACTGACTGGAATAGTACACTGGACTGCCTGCAAACAGAGGGAAACGTAGAACAGGCAGAAACACAGAATAGAGGGGTGAAAATTTCAGGGACTAGGGTTATAATATCAGAGATAGCTAGGAATAAATCCTGTCAGAAAGCCCTGAATGGAGAAATTAGAGGATGGACGAGATAAATCCAGGAAAATGGTAGTTCTCTATACGTGACTATGATAACTGTGATATAGTAAGAAATATATATATGGTCTCTGTCCCTGGTTCCTGGCACACAGCTCCTAAAACCCTTAGTGTCTTTGAAGTGGTGACTGTCTTTTCCATATGCTGGTGAGAGGGCACAGGACTGGGGCTCCTGGACAGCTTCAGGATGGGGGCGGGTTGCCAGGGGAGCCAACAATGTGATTAGAGGGTTGGAACTTTCAGTTTCGCCTCACACACCTCTGCAGAGGGGAGAGGGGTTGAGTTGATCATCAATGGCCAACGATGTAATCAATTGTGCCTGCACAATAAAGTCTCCATGAAAGCCCAAAGGACAGGGTTTGGGGAGCTTCTGGATTGCTAAACACAGAGATGCCTGGAGGGCAGTGCACCTCCGTGCCCCTTCCTACGTACCTTGCCCTGTGCATCTCTGCTACCTGGTTGCTCATCTGTATCCTCTGTAACATTCTTTATAATAAACCAGTAAATGTAAGTAAGGTGTTTCCCTGAATTGTGTGAGCTGCGCTAGCAAATTAATCGCACCTGAGGAGGGGATCAAGGGACTCCGATTTATAGATAGTCGGTCAGAAGCACAGATCACAACCTGGGGTCTGTGCTTGGCATCTGAAATGGGTGGGGGTAGTCTTGTGGAACTAAGGCCTTAACCTGTGGGATCTGACACTAACTACAGGTAGATAGTGTCAGCACTGAGTTAAATTGGAGGGCACCCAGTCAGAGCCCACTAGAGAATTGCTTGGTAGGTGTGTATGGGAAAAGTCCCCCATACACATTTTGGTGACCAGAGCAGTTGGTTTTTCCTATCTATTATCAGAGGGATCAAGGTTGTGTCTCAAGGGAACAGTATTAGGTAAAAGAGAATGGGAATGTTAACCAATGTTTCTCCATATTCAGGTGAGCCAGTGTTCTTTATAGACGTTGATGCCAAATTGTAGGTGGTGTTGGTATTTTATCTATATTAGACTTCTGTTAGTGTATCTTATAAATGCAAGACTGTGGAGCAATTTAAGGTTAGACATAAGCATGAATCACAGTATTTAATCCTTCCTAGAACATCTATTGACAGAACCATTTGTAAGAAGTGAAGTTGTGAATATGCATCAAACCAAGCAAATTACCCAAATGAATAGATTTTGATGCTTTCATTTGTGGAGGAAATAATGTGTCTGATGAGAAATGATTGGATAACATCAACATAATCAAAACTTTAATAAATAAGCTGTAGCATTAATGAATTTACATCCATTTCTCACTGTTGCTTATCAGTCTTGCACATAAATACAATTTGTTATATCCAGTTCCCAAAGCTATTTCTGTTAGTCTTCTATTAACTACCCATTTTACCATATACCCACTGCTAACTTCAATGGCCATGAAAATGTATTTTAGACCGAAACCTTATCTACTCTTTTGGGAATCCCTATTTTAACAATAGCACTGGCTAAAAGAATATAGACATTTAAATATATGTAAAAGGGAGAAAACTTTAAATTTTAAAAGTTTAAAACTTCTGTCAGTTTTAGAAGAAAGCATGTGTGTGCCTTCTCCCTCTCCTTCTCTCACTCTCATGCTCTCTCTCTCTCTCTCACACACACACACACACACACCTGCCTACCCTGAAATTCAGGTTGGAGAATATTTCTATCCACTCTTACTCAGGTTATGAAAATAATTTTAAATTATAACCTTGTACATCGAACCATTTCTGGGAAAGGATAAAAATATATATCAGTTTTGGAAAACTTACATTAAAATGATTCTAGAATTAAAATTCTGACTTCCTAATATTTGACAAAAAAATAAATGTTGTACTGGAATAAAAAAAAAAAAGGCTGGTCTAGTCCCTTTCCCTCACTCTAAACACTGTAGCTGAATAGGCTGGTCTAGATTATTTGTCCATACCTCTAAGGAAAAAGATTTCACAATCTCTTCCAGTACCTTGTTTTGACAACTTAGGACCACTTCAGCCTAGTCTAAATCGAATCCTCTGCTTATTCCCATATATCCAGTCCTTGAATGTAGTGGCACACTGGTGACTACTCAGTACCTTTTAGACTGAGAACCTGACTGTATCATTCACAACACATGCCTCCACCACCTCATCCCAAAGTGGGAATCAGCTTAGAACTAGGAGGGATTTCTCCCTGTGGGGACAAGGTTAAATATTAAATAAGAGGCCCTCAGCAGCCTCCATCACTGTTGTGGACACCCGCAGTCTTCACTGCTGGAGGACCCTGCAGTTCTCACAGCCTCTGAGCCTAGCCTAGTGAGCTGTCCAAAGTTCACACAGCTGCAATACACAGAGGAGCCCACATTGTGCCCTGTCCCCTGTGGCCCACGCTGCTACTGCGCTGTGCCATCTCGAAATGGAGCCACTACTAGAGTGCACCCTGCTCTGGGGGCCAGTAGCCACTGCGTCCCTTCATCCCTGAGGCCCTGCCATCATTGTACACAGCTTGCACGCATGGTAGTGTATCACTCCTCAGTCGAGCTGCGACAGCTGTCTACCCCACTAGGACAAGCTGCCTCAGAGGCACTCCATCTCCCACACCCCAATTGCTGCTGTGCCCTGTCTCCTGCTACGTGGAGTCTAGGCCCAGAGGAGCAGCCATGCTTCTTGGGGCCCTAGCTGATGATGTTGATGAAGAAGGAGGAACAGTATGCAAAGGGAGGAGTGTGTAGTGTATTTTACAAATTGTTCAGTACTGCTGAAGAATAAAGGAGAAAAGTGAAATGAGAAGATAGAAGAAAATGAACCTGGACAAATGAGCTTGAATCAGACTAAGAAGGGCCTGTACATCATGAAGACTGGACCTCACCTTGGGTACTGGGAATCAAAAAAACTTTGAGAAAGGGGAGGGAAACGTTATCATTACTCATATGTTCAAAAAGGGAAGAGAAGAATTAGGAAGGTGGTTGGGAAACCAGCAAGAGAGACCAAAAGAAAGATGCTGAATGACTGAACTGGGGCAGGGTGGGGCCTGGGGGGCACAGACAAGAGGAAAACACACATGTAAGAGAAACAGAAAAGGTCAGTTGATAGATTTTGATGACTGGTTCTGTGTGCTGTGGTGAGATGGTAGAGCAGGTAAAGGACAGTGAAAACTTGGTCATCAC